TATATGTTGAGCCACCTCAACTAAATTTGTCATGTGACATTTTTAGCAGCAATCATTGGTCGATTTTCTAACGTTGCCATTCGGGGAGTTGAGGCTTTTTTTTGGTGCCGTGTAAGAGAAATATATATATAGATATGCATAAGCTTTTATTACTATCCATTTAATTACAAGCCTTAAATATAAATTTTAAAGTTTCATAAAGTAATTGGCTTAATATTAAAGTTTGCTTTACTATTTTTCTGAATTAGATCTTTATTCTACTAAAACCGTATCTTTCATTCCTGACCGCAAACTCTACTGTAGACAATACTACTGTAACCAGCAAGGAAAGAGTATTATGCGAATTTGCAAATTTTTAAATTCTTAATGTTAATAGATAAAAAATATTGGCTTAAAGTTTGAAAGTTAACACTCATTACAATTTTTAAGAGTGGTAATGATCTATTTTTCAGATATTCTTTTACAAATGTTTTTCTGACTGCTTCAATATTTAGAACACTACTGGAAGAAATAGAAAATAATCTAGAAAATAAGAGATAATTCAGTGTTGAAAACAACAAAGCGCTAAAATGGGCGACAACACTCAAAAGAAAGTTAACAAATTTATTTCATTTAATAATTTTTCCTAATATTTTTACTTCAATTTATGTCTCATAATGTGATTAGGTATATGAAGTTCAAAAAAGTTGTTGTTACTTATATCACTTTATAACTGTAGTTGAATAGCAGATCCAATTCTGGATTTATGACTACTACTGTTCAAGTCCGTAGCCTTGTAATTTTGAACTCAATCCAGAAGACCAGGTAACTCCTAGATCAAGTATTTGGGGAAATTTGACTCTGTGGAGGAATTTTGATGGAGCTAACCCCATTTGCGTTACATGGAGTGGAAGATCAAGAGAGCCTCCCACAGTGAGCCTGACGGCAAAGGGACTCTAACCCATGATCCGTCTACCTCTGAGGATGTTTCTTGTCAGCACTGTGGTTGGTACAAGCCGGATACGGAATCCATATCGACCAGCCATCGTTGGGATTGAAACACGCTGCGCCTCATTGGAAGTCGAACGCCTGTGCCATAGCGGCTGTTCTTATGTCATTTGTCGATATCAGCAAAATTTCTTAAAATCTAGCTAGATAGAGTTTTTTTTTTAAAGTGCCGTCATCTATGGCCAAGAATGCACAATCTTATTACCTTCATTCATCCACAGATCGTATTTTTGATCTTAAACAGAGAAAGATCAATCTCCTGTTCCATAGCCCCAATGTATTGATTTGTTATAATGACTTGGAGGCAGATTTACGTGCACCATTTACTACACAGAGATTCTTTAGCCGACGGGATTCAAAACCTCTTTCTCACGAACCCAACATCATACTAACTAGGCTATCCCGCCCTCAAAAAAATAATGAAATATGATAAGGGTGAAAACTAATTCTAACCTTAAATAATAACAGAGAATAACAAACCCGATCCCTCACATCTTAAACATAACATTAAATTTCAAAGGTAGTTTTCAAAGATTTGTGGCGTCATCAAAGACTTATCACAGAGAACGTCATCTTCATTAAAATGCAACGCGGCTGGAAGAAGCCGATCTCTCCAGATGCAAATCAGCTTTCCCGGACGGCGCGCGCCTACACTCGAGAAGGATAAAAAGCAGCTCACCGTCGATCAGTATGCCTCTTCGACTTCAGCTCTCACCCGGAAATGTGTGCTGGACCTAAACCGCCGAGTCCCGAAGTACTGATGTCTTTCTACTTACTTTGTAAGCAATCAATCGCAAACGCTGCACTTTTAGCGCATCCATACCCTAATGCTAAAATTTCTCTCTCAATTGATGCTTCAGACCTTGGCATAGGAGCTGTATTACAACACCATATAGCTAGTAGGACCGAACCACTTGCGTTTTTTTCTCGTCGTTTAACACCTGCTGAAAGTAAATACAGTACTTACGACCGACTGAGAGTTGCTTGCAATTTATAGCGCCATCAAAAATTTTCATTATGCACTGGAAGGTAGGTCCTTCACAGTTTTTACTGACCGTAAGCCGTTAATTTTTGCTTTTAGCCGGAAACACGAAAAAATTTCCCCCCGTCAACTCAGGCACTTAGATTTTATTAGTCAATATACTACTGATATTCGATTTATTTCAGGCAGCGATAACGTTGTCGCAGATGCATTCTCTCGTATTGAGGTGATAGATTTATCTAGTACGATAGATTACGCAGCAATGGCGGAGGCGCAATCAAAAGACGCTGAGCTGAAGGAATTACAATATAACTCTTCCTTGATGATCAAGCCAATCGTTTTTAGCTCAAGTGATCTACCGCTATTTTGTGATACCTCTACGGGTAACATACGCCTGTATGTTCCGGAGAGCTTGAGACACCTTGTGTGCAAGTCAATACACAGCTTGTCTCATTCAGGCTCCAGACCGTCTACTCACGCTGTTAAACAGCGATACATTTGAAGATCTCTGAAGAAAGACTGTGTAGAATGGTACAAGAAATGCTTGGATTGCCAGAGATCAAAAATAGCACGGCACACCAAAACTCCTCTTGGTCAATTTCCAACTGCGATCGACAGATTTCGACACGTTCGCTTGGACATTGTGGGACCACTTCCCCCGTCGCAAGGATACACTTACATCCTTACGGGCATCGATCGCTTCACTCGATGGCCTGAAGCTATTCCCCTGAAAGATCAGTCTGCCGAAAGTGTTCCTAACGCTTTCTTTTCAGGATGGGTTGCTCGGTTCGGTGTACCAGAGATTATCACGACTGACAAGGGTCGTTACTTTAAAAGTAATTTATTTTTAGCGCTTTCGAAGTCTCTGGGTACCAAGCGTAATAGAACAACAGCTTACCACTCTTCTGCAAATGGCATGATTGAACGTTTTCACCGGCAGTTAAAGGGAGCTCTCAGGTGCAGTCTCACCGGCACTGAAAGATGGATAGAAGAAATGCCGATCGTCCTCCTGGGAATACGAACTGCCTTAAAGGAAGATCTTAACACCTCAACAGCAGAGCTGGTATACGGCTGTAATCTTCGCCTGCCTGGCGATTTTTTTCTTCTATTTCAGGTACGGAGTCTCCACAGCAACTACTACTATCCTTAAGGGAGCACTTCCGGCAGGTTCGACCAACACCTACGTCTCTCATGGATCAACGGAGATATTTGTCCATGCGTCCCTGAAAGACACTTCGCATGTCTTCATCCGTGACGGCCTCCTTACATTGGTCCTTATCCGGTGATCGAACGAAAGCCGAAGTTTTTTCAAATCCAGATCGGAACTCAGAAGAGATGGACCTCCATTGATAGACTTAAGCCTGCCCATTCTTTTTCACAGATTTAAGAGGCTCCAGTCATCCCGCCGCCGATGCAACCCGTGAAGCCTGCTCTTAAGACGTCCACAACAACTCGGTCCGGTCGACACGACCGTTTCCGGATTCCCGTACCTCAGCGTTCTGGACTGGTGGGGGAGTCCTGTGGCGTCATCAAAGACTCATCACATAGAACGTCACAGAGAACGTCATCTTCATTAAAATTCAACGCGGCTGGAAGAAGCCGATCTCTCAAGATGCAAATCAGCTTTCCCGGACGGCGCGCGCCTACTCTCGAGGAAGATAAAAAGCAGCGCACCGTCGATCGGTATGCCTCTTCGACTTCAGCTCTCACCCGGAAATGTGTGCTGAACCTAAACCACCGAGTCTCGAAGTACTGATATCTTTCTACGTACTTTGATGATGGACTTTATTTTGTAAAACGCTTTTTAGAATTTTAGTTGTTTATGAAGGAAATAAACAAAGTTATGTTGATAAAAAGTTCTGGTATCTTCTGAACACTTCCAAACACTAAAGATTCGTTATAGTGCAAAGAAAGCTTATTGTTTACTATTAGTTATCAATTTATAATAATAAAAATATAGAACTACTGAATAAGAAGAAAAGAAATGATTCTTACTCTTTCATTTGTAGGTCCGTGACCTCCTCTTGTATTCCATTTTTCCAAATAATCAATGCAATTTGTGTCATATGGATAAGGCAGCAGATTCTTTTCTATCTAAGTATTTGTTAGTTATTCATAACAGTGCAGTATTAAAAAGTATAACAATTGTGAACTGAGTGAATAAAGCACATTTTTACTAGTACATGATTTTAAGATATTGTTGTACATGATTTTAAGATATTGAGTCTTTTCTTATGGGGAAGAAGGAAGTTTAAAGAGGTATGTATAAGTTTGCTAGCTAGATAATTGAGATCATTTTTCAGTGTATTATTTTATACTGAATCGAATAAAACAAGTCTCGAACCGTTGTGACTAATAGCTTAGAAGAAATAAAGATTTGTTTTACAGAAATTGCAAATTTTTTCGTAATCAGATTTACGTAATTGAAATTGTCCTGTAGGCATGTGATATAATTTATTCTATGTATTTTTATGCTAAACCTAATAGGACAGAAATAAATTTAAAAGACAAGTTAGTTTAAACGTCTTTTAAAGTTTTTAATCTGACAAAGTACAGTTTTTTTTATTTATACCTATGTTTACACACCTGACGTTGCTATATAATATATCACCCACTCATGACCAAGCCCCGTTTTAGGGACTTTTGACGACCATGTTATGTATATGTCATGGCCATGATAGAGTCTGAGTTGATACATTCTTTCTTTCCAAACTTCCACTCTCAAAAACAAAGAATCTTTCAGACACGACTGATTTAACGTTCATCTTGCTGCGTATGCACGCCGGTAGTTTTGTCAGCTTCCAAAGTTTAACTAATGACACCGCCCTCGGCATCCACCAGCGGTGTGCGCGTTTACTATATACACAAATGAGGAATTGTTTTGTTTGTATTTCTTCATGCTGTTTTAAGAAAATTCATTATTAAAACGATCTTTATTACAATAATGATTCATAACACTAATGATTATATTAATAAATAAAATGATTTTTTCACAGGAACTAAAAACTGTAATAACATGTGAGTGCATTTATAGGCATGATCAGTAAAAAAATACATGTTTGCAAATTTCTGAATGATTTTTTTTCTTCGCGTAATTGTTGAAACAAACTAAGCTCAAAATTCAACAGAAACGAAAGTCTAAAAGCTTACATTTCGTAATTTCTGATGCTCAGAACAAAAAGAATTTGTATTAGGTGAATTTTCTGATAGCAACTGAGCGAAATGTAAAACTTATGTTCAGACTTATAAGTTAAGCAGCTCCGACGACACATCATCTAGATGTCTATTGTACCCAAGCAATAGATCATTACTTGCGGAGAAGCTTTAAAGCTGAAACAAGGTTCAGAAAATATGTGACAAGAATATCTTGTATTTCCCAGACCCTAAGACAATGCTGTCCCAAATGCTTCATGCAAATGCTCTTTGAGCAGAATAGACCTCACACTCACAAAAAATATGCCATGAAGTGTCCTCCTCAAGATGACAACAACGACAAAGAGGATCGAGTGCAATAGCAAAACAGTCTTTGAAATTTTGAATGATGCATTGCTCGAAGTAGATCTGAATTTAATTTTGCATTCTGTTTTGCATTTTGCACGCTTTTCTCGATTTTCTTTCAAAATTGGAAACAGTTACTCTTGTGAATAAGCTAGAGTTCTTGCATTAACTCTCATAACCATTCATAATTTCTGAAAATTAGATTAAATTACAAATAAATAAGTAAATCCCTATTAGAAAATTTAGCCCTTACATTTGCTATTATTCATTAATTTTTTTCCCCATATAACGAAAGAATTTTTCACCAAATTTTCTCCTTAATTTAAATTCTGAATTTAGAAAAATATTATTCCCCATGCATTCTATATTATTTCTATGATTAAATCATTTAAGTGTAACTAATTCAAAGTAAAAAAATCATATCACGTAAGGAGAATTTTTTTTCTGATTTCAGAAAGAGGATGAGTAAGGGAAAGAAAAAACTTTATCTTTCTAGTTGATTAAACGGAAAAAATATTTTTTAATGAGAAATTAATGATCAGAAGAACGAAAGACGAAGAACAGAAGACGAAGAACGAAAGAAGTTATGAAAGGTGAATACATAAAAAGAAGCACATTGAGTAAAATAAAATGAACCACACCTATTTTACAGATTTAAAATAAAAGCAAGAGGGGTTCAGCATGGTTTATATAAATCAGAGCCAGAAGAAGTGATGAATTTGTCATTAAATCCTGAAGCAAAAACCTTAGATTTCGGACTAGTGTTAACCTCTTTTTATTCGTGACCAAATCTTTCATGCTGATCTCTTATAGATCGTGTTATTGATCAGCAAATTAAATACATAATTTCAGATCATCAATTCAAACTGCGAAGTCCTTGTCGTTAATACGCGTTCATGTTGATGTACTTAGTCTGAAACATAGAATCAGAAAATAAAATAACAATAAACTATTGATAAACAGATAATAAATTTTAAAGTAAACTTCTGTTTGATCAAGCTGAAAGCTAGCAAACATCATTGACGTTATTTTTTAAATATTTAAAAAAAAAAACATAATCGCTTGCAATTTACTTTACGCCCACTGCTGAACAAACAAACAAAAAAAATCTTTTTTCAAACCACTCTTCAACAACGATTAAATGAAATTTTTTAATGATTTTGAGATCAGTGCTAAAAAAATTTCTTTGCACCCACTACCCAAAATTTAGAACCTCAGTACAAAATATTTTGGAGTGATATGAGAAATATGTGTGAACACTCGCAAACTATTCCTTTAATCAATATAGAAAATCTTTCTAATTCTATATTACTTTTGAAGCTGAGGTTGAAAAAACATAATTTAACAAGTCCTGCATCAGAATAAAAGTAAATAAATAAATGAAAATTATAACTTTTTCAAGGTTCTATGAGTGAACACTTTTTCGAATTTCGATTTCTATACTTTTTAGTGTGTAATAATAAATTTTTGTGACTTCTCAATCGCACAATAGATGTCGCTCAAAATACTTTCCAAGACTGTAAAGTTTATCCTGTTTGTCTGCGGTGTGAAGAGTGGCTTATTATTATTGCTTGTTTGAAAATTAAAGATAAAGTTAATTGTATCAAACTCATTTTTATGCATTCAAGATAATGAATACTATTATAATGTTATTGAAATATTATTATTCAAGATAATGAAATTATTAAGTTAATTGTATCAAACTCATTTTTATGCATTCAAGAAATTGAAATTTATTTTAATTACTTTTTTTAGGCGAAAAGCATAGTTTTTCCCCTGCTCCATTGAAAATCCTTGTTCGTAGGGATCTATTAACTGTCGAGGATTGTGGAATGAGATTTGTGCTTTAGTTTCATTGATAAATGGCGGATGTGTATCAGGGAAGAGGTTCAATGTAAGGTCAAAATCTGGAAATTTACAAAGCTTTTATTGCAACACCAACAAATAAAAATAGCAGTTTATATATTCATAAGTTACAATTAATTTCTAAATTAGATCTTTTTGGTTAAGTAATACTGTATAAAAAAAAGTTTCTATTTTGTTTTAATTATAGAAATATAAATTTTGACAATTAAATTTTGGAAATTAAGCTGCTAAGTTTATAGTTTAAAGAAAATAATCATTGAAAAATCGCTTAGTTTGCGATAACGAATAACAGTTGGAAGTATCCATTTAAAGATACTTCTCCAAAACTTTTTTTGAAAAGGGAAAGCACAAAATGATACATCAAAAGCAAGAGGAAATGAAAGGACTTCCTCGTAACGGAATATTACGTTCAAAAGTACTTGCACAAAATGCCATCTAGCGTGGTATTTCGTCAAAAGCAGATAACGGGTTAAAAGCGCACTATGTTAAAATATAGATTTCGAAAGATTTCTGGTTGCGTAACTTTACAAAATACTTGTAAATTGCAGAGTTGCATAAAAGTTTTGTGGAATTTAGTAGGCAAAAAGAATTTCAATTCCAGTATTAATTTTAATGAAAGAATCATTTTATAACTTCAAAGATGTTTTGATCATGCTATGCTGCTGGTTGGAATCCCGCTCAAGGCATGGATGTTTCTCTCTGTGTGTTGTTCTCTAATGTGTGAATGTGGCCCTCCCTATGAGCAGATATTTGTGGCAGTGTGGCGTGGGTAATGTTGCTACGTGACTTAGGTTCACAGGTGTCCACCGGGTAACGTGAAATGAGTAACACTTCCGGCATTCTCATAGGCGAAGAACTTAAAAGTTCAGAGCCTGCCGTAAGGAGAAAAGAAATCATGCTATGTTTCATACTTATTATTTACTTATTATTGAAGTTATAAGCATCGACCGACAATAAATTACCAACGGCAAATAGTGCTTTTAAACACCCTATGCTGAAAAAAAATGGAGAATTAAATTTGTAACTTGTAAAAATTTATTTTTGCTATTTAATTCAATAATTGCATTAAATTTCGTAAGACTAGCTAAATATTTATGGCGATGCGGATATTTTTATAAAACTCTTTTATTTTTGTCATACGTGTTTTTGCTTTAACTTAAAAATTAAACAAGAAATTTAACAACATTTCTAGAGTGGTTTAAATTGCTTACAAAATTTGCTCCTTAAAATAAAATAAATAAATAAATTAGTTTAAACCTGTGCGACATATAAGTAGTTAAAGTAATTTTTTTATTCTAATTTTATACTCTGTTGTTTCATAAAAACCTCGTGCTTTTTTTTTTTTTAAATTTTCGCGAAGTTTTGTTTCTTTTATTCATTTTTTTATTAGCCAGATATTTTTGTAATATTTTCAGCCTTTACAGTGGCATTTCTCCCCTCAAATTGATGTTTTTCGTGAGATTTTTATTTAAATGTTGGGCTCTCTTAGCGGCACTCGATGAATATACGCTGTCTGCGAATGTGATCTTACTACATTTTTAAATTTATTTTTATCCTCCGTCTTTTATTTTGCATCTGCGTTGTATCTGAATATTTTTGTAAAACCAATTTAAATTTAAAGGAAATGTAATATAGAAATCAATTAACTTTTCTCTTCCTTTTGTTTTGAGAAGTTGTAGTTTTAAGTTAGAAAAATGTAGTTAAAAATTTAAACACGCAGTCTGGAAGACGACGCGTGTTTCTTTGTTTTCATCTTGGCGATCGTCTCTTTTAGTCACTGGAACAAAAGTCAGTCACTTGTAACAGCATTACGGAACTTTATATTAATTGTCTCATTTAACTAAGAGAATAAAATTTTTTTGTCTGCTCGTCATCCATGAAGTATCACTTTAGGTTGAATCACCAGTTTCTCCTTTTATTTGATGTCTGAATTTGAAGTGAATATGATAATTAAATTAGGAGAAACTCTTCTGGCATGCCTCTTCTTCTTATCTAAACAACAACCTAGAATTAATCCTCCTAGGGCGAAGGATTTTCGTTGTATTAAATCTTTCTTTTCTTCAACATTTAAGAAATTCCGAGCTTTCATTTCAATCAAGGTCATCCTTAATGAATATTAAAGCATATCGCAATGTACGTCATAATTCATTGATTATTTTAAAATTCAATAATTTCAACCCTTGATCCTCTTGAGTTTCTTTGAAAAAGTACAAAAACAACTTAAAGTTCTTCGAAATTTCTTAAATATTTTAGATAATCAGATTGAACTTTTCATTAGTTGCTAAATACGATTCACTACAAAATTAGAAAAAAGTTTTAACATTTTTTTCGTGCATGCCCCGTTAAAAAGAACTACTTTATATATTGCTATATATTGCACAGTTTTCAAAGAATCCTTCTAAAATTTTTAACCAAAAATCTTTTAATTAATTTTAAATTGCTCTAAGAATGTTGTTAAGTTTTATTGAATATTTTTAAAGTTATAGCATGAAAAGTAAGAAAAAAATTTTCTTTATGAAAACCTCCATATCTCCATAAAAATCTAAGCTAGGCGTACGAAATTTTATACAATTATTGCATAAACTAACCAGAATAATTTTTAAAAGTGACAACATATTTAATGCCACATTTTTTGGCCAAGCTGTTCAAAAACACTATTTTCCGTTTGTAATTTATTGTTGGTCCCTCTAACCTTTAAAAGCTTAAAGCATCATTGATAAGTATGAGAAATGGCTTGATCTAAATATTTCTGAAGTTATAAAATGATTCTTGAAGTATTTCTTGAGAAATATTAAAAAATATATTAGTATAGAAGTGTTGCCATTATTTTGTCCAACCCCTGTATATTTTCTATTCTCTACCAAAAATGCATAAATTAAATCTTTTCTCTTTTTAAAAAAAGAAAAGCAGGCTCTATTTAAAGACCTTGTGATAGCTTCCTATTTGTCATCGTATATTTTTCCTTAGAAATCAATATTTTTTAAGAAAAAAATAATAAGGAAAAGAAAACATTTATTAAGAAATTATATTATTACTGCAATGTTATGCAAAAACATTAATATGTTAATCGCAGTATTATAATATTTTGTTTGTATGTTAATCGTATGAGATGAATTTGACAAATAACACTAAAGAACATTTTTTTTTTCTT